AGGTGTGTAAATGGCCTGCACCTATAGCAGGAGCATCGGCCACCTTCAGCCGGAGTGGCATGGTCTGTTTTCATCTCTGGCGCCCCCCTCGCCTGCACAGGAAGTCACTGGTAAAGGTGAACTATCCCTTCAAGATCCCTCTGTGGGTGGTAATGGGGGAGGGGCCTCCGACAGCACAAATGAGGCGACACCGGGTGTCCGGGGGCGGCAATATTTTGGTAAAGGCAAACTAACGCCTTAATTTTAGGTCCCCCCTGGTGTAGATTGTCAGCTCTTGGAACCCCCCCTGGTGTAGATTGTAAGCTCTTGGGACCCCCATACTGTAGACTGTCAGCTCTTGAGCCCCCCCCTGGTGTAGATTGTCAGCTCTTGGGCCCCGATACTGTAGACTGTCAGCTCTTGGGCCCCCCCCTGGTGTAGATTGTCAGCTCTTGGGCCCGATACTGTAGACTGTCAGCTCTTGGGTCCCCCCATATGTAGATTGTAAGCTCTTGGGCCCCACCCTGGTGTAGATTGTCAGCTCTTGGGCCCCCATGGTGTAGACTGTCAGCTCTTGGGCCCCACCCTGGTGTAGATTGTCAGCTCTTGGGCCCCGATACTGTAGATTGTCAGCTCTTGGGACCCTCAAGATGTAGACTGTCAGCTCTTGGGGCCCCCATATGTAGATTGTCAGCTCTTGGGCCCCCATGGTGTAGACTGTCAGCTCTTGGGGCCCCCATGATGTAGATTGTCAGCTCTTGGGGCCCCCATGGTGTAGACTGTCAGCTCTTGGGGCCCCCATGGTGTAGACTGTCAGCTCTTGGGGCCCCCATGATGTAGATTGTCAGCTCTTGGGGCCCCCATGGTGTAGACTGTCAGCTCTTGGGGCCCCCCGGTGTAGACTGTCAGCTCTTGGGGACCCCATGGTGTAGACTGTCATCTCTTGGGGCCCTCATGTGTAGACTGTCAGCTCTTGGGGCCCCCCGGTGTAGACTGTCAGCTCTTGGGGACCCCATGGTGTAGACTGTCAGCTCTTGGGGACCCCATGGTGTAGACTGTCAGCTCTTGGGCCCCCATGGTGTAGACTGTCAGCTCTTGGGCCCTCATGGTGTAGACTGTCATCTCTTGGGCCCCCCTGGTGTAGATTGTCAGCTCTTGGGACCCCCATGATGTAGACTGTCAGCTCTTGGGACCCCCATGATGTAGACTGTCAGCTCTTGGGACCCCCATGATGTAGACTGTCAGCTCTCGGGCCCTCATGATGTAGACTGTCAGCTATTGGGCCCCCCATGATGTAGACTGTCAGCTCTTGGGGACCCCATGATGTAGACTGTCAGCTCTTGGGACCCCCATGATGTAGACTGTCAGCTCTTTGGCCCCCCTGGTGTAGATTGTCAGCTCTTGGGCCCCCCATGGTGTAGACTGTCAGCTCTTGGGACCCCCATGATGTAGACTGTCAGATCTTGGGGCCCCCATGATGTAGATTGTCAGCTCTTGGGACCCCCATGATGTAGACTGTCAGCTCTTGGGACCCCCATGATGTAGACTGTCAGCTCTTGGGACCCCATGGTGTAGATTGTCAGCTCTTGGGCCCCCATGATGTAGACTGTCAGCTCTTGGGACCCCCATGATGTAGACTGTCAGCTCTTGGGACCCCCATGATGTAGATTGTCAGCTCTTGGGGCCCCCATGATGTAGATTGTCAGCTCTTGGGTCCCTCCTGGCGCAGACTGTCAGCTCTTGGGGCCCCCATGATGTAGATTGTCAGCTCTTGGGGCCCCCCTGGCGCAGACTGTCAGTTCTCGGCCTTCTCCCTGTCACTTTCCCTCTCTTCCTCCTCCCCCCGGTATAGATTGTCAGCTCTTGTGTCCCCACCGTGTCTCCCCCTCCCCCCCCTCCGCTCATGCAGCTTCAGGGGTTCCGGGTAGGAGGGTGGGCGTCTCCCGTCCACCTCCCGGCGCCTCCCCCTCCCCGCCCCGTCGGCCAATGGCAGAGCCGGTTCGTCAAAGATGCCCATATTTGGCTATCTTCAGTCGGCGCACTGGGGGGCGGGGCCGGCTGGCGCTGACGTTAAATACCATAACGGCCGCTCGTGGAGGTCTCATTCAGCCGGCGGCAGCGGACCTGACAGCAGCTCATTCACCAGCTTCTCCCGCTTCAGGAAAACCCTCAAACCAACCAGGTAAAGAACAGAACCGACCCCATCCCCCCACACTCACCGGGCGGTGATCCCTGACCCCGGGGGGCGGCGGCCCGGCTCCTGTCAGCCGGTGGAGGGCGGCACTGGAAACCTTAGCGGGGCCACTGGACGACTTTTTTTAGTGCATTTTCTTCTGGGTTATGCAGTTCTCACAAGATTTGGGAGTGTGGTGAAGCTTGGCGGTGGAGTTGTCGCGAGATTTGTTCCTGAGGTCTGCTGAGAAGTGTAGTTCTTCGGCGAGAGATGGGTGTGAGGTGCGCCTGGTGCTAGTTCTCGCGAGACTTGTCACTGAGGAGCGCTTAGCTAGCTCTCGCGAGACTTGTCACTGTGAGGCGCGGTTATCGAACTCTTGCTTGGCTGATGTAACGCTTGGGTACTGGAGTTATCGCGAGATTGTAGAGTTGTGCTGATATGTGGTTCTTGGCGAGGATTGGGTGTGAGGCGAGCATGGCACTACAAGTCCCGAAACTTGTTACTAAGTGTTCGTGTTCTCGCGAGACTTGTCATTAAAGTAAGCTTGGCTCTAGTTCTCGCGAGTTTGTTTGCAGTAACCCGCAATGGTTAGTGTTTGGCGGTGAGGCTCGCTTAGTACTAGTTCTCGCGATATTCTGTAAGGTTTAGTTTTTAAGACTAATTATCGCGAGATTTGCCTAATGTGCGTGATTGGCGCCTGAGGCATGCTGGGTCTTGTAGTTTCTGGTCTGTTGGGGGTTGTAGTGACACTGCGGGTGTGGCTGAAGTGTTTCCGGCCTGTTTGGGTTCCCTGGGGCTTGTAGTCACCTCAGGTCTTCAGTTTCGAGGCGTTTAGTGTTCTCTTGGCTCTCATTGGGCCAGCTTGGCATGCTGGGAGTGTTAGTCCGGTGGCGTGCTGCACGGCAGGCAAGGATTTGGCGGCCGTGAAGTAAAAGGGCGGGTGCCGGGAGGTAAAATGGCGGCAGTGGCCGTGTGAGGAACATGGCGGGCCGGGTGGATCGGGACTGCGGTATGTCAGGGTGAGGTGACAGGTGCCGCAGGGTGGGCGGGGTCCGCCCGGCTTTTGTCCGCCGAGGCCTGTGTGGGCGGGGCGCGGCTGTCACTGCGCGGGCTCCCTGGCTGACGTCACCGGGTCGCCACGCCCTTCTCTCAGGCTGGCCTGATCTCGACGCTCGGCCACGCCCTGAGCTGGGTGGGCGCGGCCCGCGGACCTGTCGCTACCATATTAGGGCACAAAATGCGCCGATTGGCCGAGAGGACGTGGGAGGGAAACATTTTCAAACCGGCCGGTGGGCGTGGCTGGTGGGTGACAGTTTCCTGTGGGCGGGGTCGGAACTTTCTGGACGGAGGAAGGTGACAAGCAGGGAGCCGCCCGGCTATGGGCGGAGTGATGGGGGAGGGGCGGAATGACTCATCTGTGTGCGGAGCCGCCTTGTATCCGAAGAACTAACAGTCCCAGCATGCCCATAGAGGCACTCAGTGCTGCCGGGAGGGGAATGCTGGGACTTGTAGTTCCTCAAAAGAAACTTCCTGTGAAAATGATGTATTTAACTTTGTGATGTGATTGGAACTAGCCGGTCTGTTGCTATGGGCAACCAAGCTGCTGCAGCCTCCCTATGCTGGCCGTGTGCGGCTCACTCCTGATTGGCTCAACCAGTTTCCTTATAAAGTCCCGCCTACTACGCAATCTAATCCAGGTGGGGGAGGGGCTACATGGCGGTTAGCAGCCAATCGGAGGGTGGGGGTGCTGGCAGGTGGGTGTAATAGGGGGTTGCATGCTGGTGAGGAGCCAGTAGGACGAAGGGGTTGCATGCTCATTCATGGGCCACCAATAGGGGTCTGCAGGTGGAGGGCGGGGTCCGCCTATAGGTGGGCAGCCAATAGGCTGATGGGGTTGCATGCTGGTGGGCGGCCAATGGGGTGAGGAGTCGGTAGGATGGAGGGGTTGTATGCTCGCTCATGAGCCACAAACTGGAAGGGGTATGTCTGCAGATGAAGGGCGGGGTCCACCTATAGGTGGGTGGCCAATAGGAGATTGATGGGGTTGCTGACAGGTGGGTCACTAAGGGTGGGGGGTGTCTGTCTTCGGGTGGGTGGCCAGTGATCGGGTTAGTGACAGGGGGGCCACCAACAGGATGGGGGTCTGCAGGTGGAGGGCAGGGTCCGCCTATAGGTGGGCAGCCAACAGGAGAGATGAGGTTGCTGACAGGTGGGCCATGGGGGGGGGAGGGGGTTGTTGTCAAATAGGGTGGGGATCTGTCTTTAGGTGGGTGGTCAGTAGAGGGTGGGGTCATCCTATAGGTGGGCAGCCAACAATGCAGTTGCTGACAGGTGGGCTCCTATACGGTTGGGGAATGGTCTTCAGGGGGGGTCATCCTATAGGTGGGCAGCTGACACGTGGGTTCAAATTGGGTGGGGGATCTGTTTTCATGTGGGTTAGCAGCCAATAAGATGGCATGACATGCACATGGACCACCAATAGGATGGCTGTCTGCAGGTGTGGCCAGTGGAGGGCGTGGTCAGCTTATAGGAGCTTGATTGGGTTGCTGACAGGTGGGCTCCAATAGGGTGGGGGAGGGGGTCTGTCGGGTGGGTGAGCCTGTAGGTGGGCAGCCAATAGGAGACTGAGGGGGTTTCTGACAGGTGGGTCCTCTATAGGTTTGGGGTCTCTGCTGGTGGAGGGCGGGGTCAGCCTGCAGGTGGGCAGCCAATGGGATGGAAGATGAATGCAGTTTATTGCAGCAGCAAACTTGCGGTAATTCCTTTGCAATCTAAATCTTCGTTTTGTTTGTTTTACAGAAAAATGGAAGATGAAATTGCCGCACTCGTCATTGACAATGGCTCTGGTATGTGCAAAGCCGGCTTTGCTGGAGATGATGCTCCCCGCGCTGTCTTCCCCTCAATCGTTGGTCGCCCAAGACATCAGGTTTGTAGTATAGTTCTCTCATTGGCCCTCAATCTTCATGTCATTGGGGGCCCCCATGTCGGTATATGGTCCCTCGATCATTGCCCCTCCCCCCAGTACGGCTCCCCCCATGTCCTGCCATCTAACCCCGGCCTGTTTGTCTCTCCAGGGTGTCATGGTTGGAATGGGACAGAAGGACAGCTATGTAGGTGATGAAGCCCAGAGCAAGAGAGGTATCCTGACCCTGAAGTACCCCATCGAACACGGCATTGTAACCAACTGGGACGATATGGAGAAGATCTGGCACCACACCTTCTACAACGAGCTGCGTGTCGCCCCTGAAGAACACCCTGTCCTGCTCACAGAAGCCCCCCTGAACCCCAAAGCCAACAGAGAAAAGATGACACAGGTTGGTTCCCCTCCCACACCCCTCTCTGGTCACATCCTCCGGAGACTTCTTCTGGTTCTCATTCCTCATTTCTCAGACTCCACATTTTTCTTTTCGATATTTCCAGGGCTCTGTTCCTCTCCTGGCATTTCCCTCCTGAAGCCTCAGGTTTCTGTTCTGGTTTTGTTTCTGCTTGTTCTGTTCCTTTTTTTCTACACTTTAACCATTTTGTAGTTTTTATAACCTGCATGCTGGCATGTGAGCATGGTTTGGGGTGCGCCGGCCTGGTGCCTGTAGTTATGGGACTTCTCGTCTCTCCTGCAGATCATGTTTGAGACATTCAACACCCCCCCCCGCCATGTACGTTGCCATCCAGGCTGTGCTGTCCCTGTATGCCTCTGGTCGTACCACTGGTATTGTGATGGACTCTGGTGATGGTGTGACCCACACAGTGCCCATCTATGAAGGTTATGCCCTGCCCCACGCCATCCTGCGTCTGGACTTGGCCGGCCGTGACCTGACAGACTACCTCATGAAGATCCTGACCGAGAGAGGCTACAGCTTCACCACCACAGCCGAAAGAGAAATCGTGCGTGACATCAAGGAGAAGTTGTGCTACGTGGCCCTGGACTTCGAGCAGGAAATGGCCACCGCAGCCTCCTCTTCATCCCTGGAGAAGAGCTACGAGCTTCCCGACGGTCAGGTCATCACCATCGGAAACGAGAGGTTCAGGTGTCCAGAGGCCCTCTTCCAGCCATCCTTCCTGGGTGGGTATTGCCGGTGAATTGTAACCGGGTTGTCTTGAATCAAAGTCCCAGATGATGATGGAGGTATATGCACCACCACTAATGTATCTACACGTCTTCCCCATAGGTATGGAATCATGCGGCATTCACGAAACCACATTCAACTCAATCATGAAGTGCGACGTAGACATCCGTAAGGACCTGTATGCCAACACAGTGCTGTCTGGAGGTACCACCATGTACCCTGGCAATCGCTGACAGAATGCAGAAGGAAATCACTGCCCTGGCCCCTAGCACAATGAAAATCAAGGTAAACCTTTGCAACTTCTGTCATGGGGAGCAGGTCTTGGTCTGCTATGAGTGGGTCTCGGTTCCTACCATGGGTGAGGAGTAGGTCTTTATATGCCAAGGGGATTGGGTCATGCTCCTGCCATGGGCAGCAGGTTTTGGCCTGCTATGAGTGGGTCTTGGATCCTACCATGGGTGAGGGTAGGTTCTTGATCTGCCAAGGAGATTGGTTCATGCTCCTATCATTGAGAGCAGGTTTTGGGAATGCCATGGGCCAAATAGGTCTTTATCTGCCAAGGGGATTACTTCATGGTCCTGGGTGGGGGCATTTCTCTGCCTGCCATGGGCAGCAGGTATTGGCCTGCTATGAGTGGATTTGGAGTCCTGCCATGGGTGAGTAGGCCTTGACCTGCCAAGGGGATTGGGTCTTAACCCTGGCATTGGTGTCGAGTAGGCCTTGACCTGCCAAGGGGCAATTGGGTCTCCACCCTGCCATGGGTGGGGCAGCCAGTCTTGTCTTGGGTCCTACCATGGGTGAGTAGGCTTTGACCTGCCAAGGAGATTGGGTCTCCACCCTGCCATGGGTGGGGCAGCCAGTCTTGTCTTGGGTCCTACCATGGGTGAGTAGGCCTTGACCTACCATGGGTGAGGAGTAGGCCTTGACCTGCCAAGGAGATTGGGTCTCCACCCTGCCATGGGTGGGGAAGCATATCTTGGCTTGCTGTGAGTAGCTTTGGTTCTGGGGTCCTGCCATGGTTTTGGGGGGTAGAGTTTATTTCTGCCATGGGTACTAACAAGCCTTTCTCTCCTTCAGATCATTGCACCACCCGAGCGCAAATACTCCGTCTGGATCGGTGGCTCCATCTTGGCCTCCCTCTCCACCTTCCAACAGATGTGGATCAGCAAGCAGGAATACGACGAATCCGGCCCATCCATCGTCCACCGCAAATGCTTTTAAACGGACTGCTAGCAGATGCGTTGCATTTGCTGCATGAGTTGTTCAAAGTGTTAAAAAAAAAAAATATTTGCTTCGGCAAATGTGTACGCCTCATGCTAGCCTCGTGAAACTGGAATAGAGCCAACTTCCAAACGAACTTGCCCTCGAATGTGAGACACTCTAAAGTCGCCTGTCGTTGGGGATTTTTCTTTTTGTAATGCAAGACTTTGGAAGTGTCTCTCCCACTATTCCTGTGGTGTCAGTGCTAGCGTATACCCTGTACACACCTCCGATACAAAACTCCGCTTGGCATTCCGTCTCGGGTGTCTCCTCTAAGCTAAACGTCTACGAATGCATTTCTGTGAAAGGCTGCCGATCTGCGTGTTGTGAATGACACTTCTCCGGGGGTCCTGGGGAGGTCGAGGTGGGAGGTGTGTACAGGGTATCTGAGGTTTAGGCTTCCAGATAACCAATTTTAGCGCTTAATATTCCAGAATTTCTTGTCTGAGGCTGGTAGGAGTTCATGAAGGAATTATCACTTCTGTTTTTTTGCCACTTTTTTTTTTCTAGTATGGTTGGAAAAGTCGGCATCCAGGCCTTAGATCCAGGTTTTTGTTTTCTTAGCCCAGTTTGTATTCCCAGCATTGAACATGGGTCTGAAGTTACAACTTATTGCAGTTACACCTGTAAATTTATTCATCCGAGTTAATTTATGTAAATTTTTTTGTATGTTGCCTTAATGTTCTCACATGACAAGTAGAACCAAAATTTGTAAGTCATCCTGAAGTTGAAAAAAATTGTAACTCCCAGAAAACACTTCATTGTGTAAGGAAAATAAAGCGCTGCAGTAAATAGAGAACCTGTGTGGCTGTCCCAGTGTTATTGAAGATGTTGTGTCTTGGGGGGAGCTCTTTGGGGTGGGGAGGCATCTTGGGGGAGCTCTTTGGGGTGGGGAGGCATCTTGGGGGAGCTCTTTGGGGTGGGGAGGCATCTTGGGGGAGCTCTTTGGGGTGGGGAGGCATCTTGGGGGAGCTCTTTGGGATGGGGAGGCGTCTTGGGGGAGCTCTTTGGGATGGGGAGGCGTCTTGGGGAGCTCTTTGGGATGGGGAGGCGTCTTGGGGGAGCTCTTTGGGATGGGGAGGCGTCTTGGGGGAGCTCTTTGGGATGGGGAGGCGTCTTGGGGGAGCTCTTTGGGATGGGGAGGTGTCTTGGGGGAGCTCTTTGGGATGGGGAGGTGTCTTGGGGGAGCTCTTTGGGATGGCGAGGTGTCTTGGGGGAGCTCTTTGGGGTGGGAGGTGTCTTGTGGGGAGCTCTTTGGGGTGGGGACGTGTCTTGGGGGGAGCTCTTTGGGGTGGGGACGTGTCTTGGGGGGGGAGCTCTTTGGGGTGGGGACGTGTCTTGGGGGGGAGCTCTTTGGGGTGGGGGGGTTCTGTTTTTGAAGGTTACTCATTCATGGTTCCCCCTCATTCATGGTTCCCCCTCATTCATGGTTCCCCCTCATTCATGGTTCCCCCTCATTCATGGTTCCCCCTCATTCATGGTTCCCCCTCATTCATGGTTCCCCCTCATTCATGGTTCCCCCTCATTCATGGTTCCCCCTCATTCATGGTTCCCCCTCATTCATGGTTCCCCCTCATTCATGGTTCCCCCTCAGAGGATGGATAATATACTTGCCTTTCCCTGACCTTGGTATAGGGTGAGCTCTAACCAGATCCTGGGAATGCAGAGTAGCCCAAGTCTGAACATTCTACAGTGCAGGAGTTGGGCTACACATCCTTCTCAGATCTGGGCAGAAGGTTATCGCCCCCTAAACCAGCTAAAGGCAAGGGTATCTAACAATCTTATTACCCTACAGATACTCTTTAGTGGTTAAATGGGGTAACAAAGTAGACTTGGCACATCCTTAAGGTTCACATCCATTGCCCTCCTTGGACTTTGCACCTCTTAAGGTTCACATCCATTGCCCTCTATCCACCTTTCATTGCAGTGAACTGGTTCTTTAAGGGATACAAAGTTCTGGGGTGGAAGAAGTCAAAGTCCACAGAACTGAATCACTAAAAGATGGAGGACAAATTACATCTGACACAACTTGAGGTCACAACTCACAGGTCATTCATGAGGTTCAACTCTGAGCTAAAACCAGGTAAAGGCCCTGTTGTAGGTCTTCAGAGATGTGTATGGGGGTCTCAACATTGGTTCTCTTGGCTGAAGATAAAGATCTTCCTCTAGACATGCATTTTTTTTTTTTTTTTTTTTCCCACACAAGGTGGGCCACAAATATGGGTTACACATCGGGGGTCAGACTGCTGGTCAGTACTGGTAGTAACATTGATAAACAGTGTCCTGGAGTCTCCAACTCCCTGACATTACATGGAGCACGCACCTTCTCTGCATCCACCTCTGGATATCCAGTATTGAACAGGTTTGGGTATCCCCAGAGATAAGAAGCTTCACTTTTGGGTTTTGAAGCCTTAGATTAGGCTGGCCCATCTATCCTCTAGCTGGGCTCCCCTCCCCCCCCCCCCCCCCCCCCCCCCCAGGTGGTTCCAGCCACAGTAGACTTACCCTCATCTGGAGGGGTGTCCTGACCTCTGAATAACTTTGGGGTAAAAAGGTTGGAGGGCTGTCCTGGCTGAGGCAATGAGAAGGGATTCCAGCTTTACCCCAACACCCCCTTACAAAACAATGTGTGGGCCAGAAGTTTGTCCTGATTGCGCATCCATCTCCTGTGTGTCCCCCCCCCCCCCCCCCCTCAACCTCTTCATTGCAGCCATCTTGATGTCTAACCCATGCCAGAAGATTCTGGTGTATCCACAATGGTGGCTGGTAAGACTCCATCTAAACGTTACAGAAGGTGAAGATCCTCCATGGGAAGTGTTGGCTCCTGTGTCCCTTCACTATAAACATTCCTAGACCTTCATGGAATCCTGTCCTGGAATGTTGGCCCTCATCCTAGGAGGCACTGATGGAGAGCCTCACTTCCTATCCCAGTTGCTGTTGTCACCTGACCAGGAAGTGAGGGGTGGAGCCTTCCAATAAATGATGGCTGACTACCACTAAACGGAAACTTGTCTGGCATGTTAAAGTGGAACTAAAGCCAATGAAAGGGATGGTTGCTTGTGCTCCTGACTTCAAATGGCTGGTGTCATAGCTGATCCCATGTGCAGCACCTTGGCAACTACAGTTCAGCTGCTAAGAGATTTTTTCCTTAGCTGTTAAAAAAAAAAAAAAAAAAAAAGTCTTCACACTTTTTAAACAAGTATAGTGACACCAATGAATAGTACCCCCATCATTGGTGTCAGTGGGAGGAATAGTACCCCATCATTGGTGTCAGTGGGAGGAATAGTAGGGAAATCCTCCAATGGGGGGACACTAGTTCTGGAGACAACCACTTTGCAGGGATTTCAACTCACTTCCTGTTGTGTCAATGGGACACGAAGTGAAGGGAAATCTCCCCCAATGGGCACAGATGGCAAAAAAATCTGACCGGGGGCTCTAACACGTTTCTGTTTCCCCTCCACTTACGTTGTATCTGATCGTCCCAACTGACAAGAAACGAGTGACAACGACTTCCCTTTTGGGGATTGTGAAGGTGGGGACCCCGAACATTTCATCCCGGGGGGGGGGGCCTCAGGTCAGCTTTGTTCTTCTAGGGGCTCCCCATGGGTATCATACCTTCCATCTGCACCACAACCGCTACGGGTACAGGAGAGCAAATTGCTGCTGTTCCACCCTGAAAGCAAACATTTTTTACATTGCCGCTTACCAATCCTTAGATGTGACAGCTGCATTTGTTTTCTTTTCTTTATTCTCACTTGCTGATCCAGCCAATAAGTCTGTTGCTTTTCAACACAGCAAGCTGTCTTGTAGATGTAGCAGTTACATAGTCAGGCTGAAAAAAGACAAAAGTCCATCCAGTTCCATTAAAAGAAAAAAAGTTATAATCCGACACCCACAGTGAATCCAGAGGAAGGCAAAAATCCCAGCAAAGCACGATCCAATCTCCTCCTGCAGGGGAAACAATTCCTTTCTG